AGTAGACAAAATTTTAGCTTTTTGTACCATTTGACATCAAAGATTCCTGAGGATTTGGGGGTGTCTCTTGGGCAAAGCCAGAAATGTCCTAATGTAATGGTGTGGAAAAACAGAGACAGCCAAGAAAGCTAAAAGGCAAGTTGGCTGAAAACCGTGAGGGTATTACGTGGGTGGGAGGGCAGATAGCCGTGGTCGCCTCTCTGTTGGCCTGTCTTTCTGAGTTGTGGCCTCAGGGGTCAGGGTCCCAGACGTCAGACTAATTTTTATCCCAATTAGTGACCTGAGAAGGTCTGATTTTGCCTCGGCTAGTCTACTATTAACAACACAACGGAAACTAGGTTTCTTTGGATACTTTTTTCTTAAAAAAAAATAGAAGCTCATTTCACCTAGAATAATGTAAAGTTTTTAAAAGTAAGATAATGTTTGTGTCTACATGCCTGGACTGCTTTCTCTCCTGAGAATAATGAAAATGTCTTCACCAGAACTGTTTGCCTTCAGGTTAGAGACTATTTCACCGAGTAATGCCTCCATCTCTCCCACCCAATTTATTGGGTTATTTTGTTCTTTGGGACTCCTGAAACTTGCAGGGTGAAATGCTTGATCCATTAACAACCTCAGGTAGGGGGCCAGCTGCAAATTAGTGTGTGGCTACAGGCATGTTTGGGTGTCTGAATCCCTGGAGTGTAATTTTTGGATGTGAAACTAAGTATATTCAGTCACATGTTGGCAACCATCGTCATCGTGTTAGAAATGGTAGAGTTAGAAACTTTCTCTAGTTAGAGTAGCTGTATCTTCCCCACTTTGTAACTCAGTGATGGCACAACCCTAACATATGATCATCCTTAAAATATACAGGACAGAAAGAAAGAGAGAGGGAGAAGGACAGGGAGAGGGGGAGAGAGAGACAGAGAGAGAGGATGAGTGCACTGACAGCAAACTAGCTGTCCAGCTGCCATTTTTATATAACTGGCTAACCCGATGGGGGGGGTCGAATATGTCCCCAAAAATGAGGTATGAAATTTAATTCTCAGTTTCTCAAAATGTGACCTTATTTGGAGGTAGGGTCATTGCAGATGTAATTAGTTAGGGTGAGACCATGCTGACGTAGGGTGGCCCTAACCCACGTGAGTGATGTCCTTGTGAGGAGGCGGCTGTGCGAGGAAACACACAGGGAGAAGGTCGCGTGGTGACGGAGGCAGAGACTGGCGTTAGGCAGCGGCCAGCCAAGGAAAGTCGAAGGCTGCCAGCAAGCCACCCGCAGCTACGCTGAGGCAAGGAAGACGTCCCCGCAGGTTTCAGAAGGATCACAGCCCTGAGGACACTTTGATTTTAGACTTCTGGCCTCCTGAACTGTGACACAATAAATTTCTATTGTTTTAAGCCACCTGGTTTGTGGTACCTGGTCGCAGCAGGCCTAGAAGATTGATACAGGGATCAGCACAATGGACTAGGCTCTGCCAAGAAGGCGTCTCGGGGTCTTATTCTCTCTCTGCCCCACCCTGCACACTCCTCTTCCCCCCACCGCTCCCACGTACACACAAAGGGCCACGTCGTAACCCAGGACTGGATCCGTGGATGGGGCTTCAGTCAGTCAAACTGCACGAGCCCTCGCTGCGTGTCCACGTGTGGCCGGCGGGAGAGAAGGCCTGCAGGAGAAGCTGGCAGCTCTCTTTTGCTAACTGAATGAAGGAAGTTTTTGAGAAATTTAAGTGAAATCCAAGAAAGCCAGATGGAGTTCTTCCTAGTGCACAGAGACTTTCAGAAGAGAAAAAGGCATCATGTGTGGATACACCAGTCTGCTCTACAGGCTGCTCGCGCCTCACTTTTCCTGAAGTCATTGAGGTCCGTGCTTTCAAATCCACCCCGAGCCTCCCCTCGGCTCGCTTCCTCCATGTCCCAGCCTCCATGTGCCGTTATTCCTCAGGAAGACTCAAGACCTGGGATGTAGGTGGAGCAGGGTGTTCCCTTCCCCACACCAAGGTACAAATGCATGCATGTCAGGGGTCCCCAGGAGGGATTTCTCCCAATAGGCTGGTCGCATGCATCTTCTGTGTGATTGACTGGTAACCCAGCCAGCCCTGAACTGCATACAGGGGTCCTATGCCCTCCTCTCTGTCAGTGAGAGGGGCCTGAGCTGGCTCTGTGTGTTTGGGGCATCTGGTCCCTTAGCTGGAAAGGCAAGAGGGACTTGAATTCCGACTTGTCGCACTGATGAAGCCACTGTAAAATCCCGACCTGGGCGTTAACATTTTCCTCTTAGCTTAGGGCTTACATGGGTGCTGGGCGGAAGAAGGGGATGTCCTAGATGCTTTCCTTGGCCCCTTGGTATTGTAAAATAATGTGATCATCATGAAGCAACATGCAAATTAAACACTCAGCCTGCACCAGCTTCTTAGGATGTTGCTTGTGATGTACGGCTGCTACTAACTACTCAATATAGTGTCAGTATAGTCAAGACAGGGAAAAAAATGAGTTTAAAAGTCCTTGAAGTCAAAATTATTTTTAACTATCTGCACCCCTCGGTCACTTCAACTGTTCTGTTAGACACGGCTGTTGCAGGCTCAGAAAGGAACTTCATTTAACTTCATTTCATAAAAGCAGTACAGGCAGTCCCTGAGTTATGGAGGACCCGACTTACGGCATTCCGTACTTGAGAACAGGCTCCCGAGGCTCCTTGAAAGGATAATTTGTAATTAAATAATTAATTCAGGGACCAGTTTCTTCCACACACGTGAACAAACCCGCGTGGCATAAGCAGTTCTTTGACGCAGCATCCTCACGCTAGCGGCCAGTCCCATTGTTACACGGTCGTTTACGCACGGCATCGCTTTCATCTTAATTAACTTTTACATTCAATTTTGCAAGTCCGTGTGTATCCTTACGACCATGCCTCCAAAGCAAAACCCACTGCAGGTCAGGTGAGCCTGCAATGAAGAGAAAGGAGATGACAAAGGAAACAAAAGTGGAAATAATTAAGTATTCAGAAAAAGGCCAGATGCCGTCATCCACTGGGAAAGCACCAGGCTTCTGTCACTCGACTGTCGGGACAATTATAAAGGATAAAGTGAGAATATTTGAACATGTGAGAGGCAGAGCTCCAATGAGAGCATCAGTTATTACTAAGCAGCGTAGTGGATTAATTATGGGAATGGAAAGATTATTACTGATTTGGTTAGAAGATCAAAATGAGTGTAACATTCCTATTAGCCTAGCACTGATGCGACATTAGGTGAGTTGTTAACCTTTAATATTCTTTTTTCAAATTTCTCCTATTTCCTATCTAAACTTTTTGCATGAGTTTGTTTTTATGTTCCCTTTGTTTGAATTAAAAGAAAGAACACAATAGTTTCTGTAACTTATTGTTACAATACAGGGGTATTATTATTGCTACAGTATTACCCAGTATTATTACAGTATTATTACCACATATGAGCCATTACAGTATTATTATTATTATTATTACCATATATTCACTGTTTGTCAGGGATCCCAGTTATAATACATACAAATCCAACCTGAAGACATTCTCAAGAACATACCTCGTCCATAACCCAGTGACCACCTGTGCTAGTGACACCGGAAATGTCACTGCTCTGCTTCATTCTCAGAGACAAATAGTGACCTCCTTGTGCTCAAGAAGCTCAAATTTTTCCAGCCACCACTGGTTTGGTAGGGAGGAAAGAGCTCCCAGTGCAAGCCCTGCCTTTCTGGAGAGTTCTCTGAGGTCCCAAAACCTTAAGCCACTGGGAACAGGCGATTCCATCTCCTCCTTCCTACAGGAATCCACCCTTCCTTTCCACTTGGGTCTTTCATTCTGTTAATAATATTCTCCATTCTGCATTTCCTTATCTTCTTCTCTAGCTTCCTAGCCGTTCCTCCTCCCTTACCGTTCTGTACTTAATGCTAAAAAGCATGAGTGCCATTTACGAAGAGCTTCTATGTGTCAGGCTCTGTGTGGGGTGTGCAGATATTTCACCTGCAACGTAGGTATTGGCAACCCCCTTTGGCCACGAGGAAAGTGAGGTTTCAAGGAGGTTATCCAAGGCCCCACAGCTCGGGATTCAAACCCACAGTCTCCCTTTTCAAAGCCCACCTGGGCTCTTTAATGCTACACCACATCCTCGTGTTATCTCATCAGCCCAAGACCCTCCATGGGGAAGCTGGGAAGTCACAAAGCAAGGACAGCACAAAAGCAGAGAGTGGTTACCTGATATTTGTACTTAATTCAATATGATCTATGTTGCTTATGTGACATGGTGTCCGTACGAAATGAACTTTTATTTTTCAGGCCATAATTACAGTTACATGTGGGGAATAATCGTGTGTCCGCTTATGCAGGGTGTGTTGGCATCACTGCCTGGAACGCTGTAGTGAGGACAAGGGCTCCCCCAGCACAGGAGACCCTGGGCAGGGGTAAATTACTGACGTCTACCTGGACCTGATGGGGAGTGGGCAGTATGTCAAGAATTTCCATCTCTGTTATGCCTTCATGACACAAAATCATATGAAAGAGTAAAATCAGGTGCCTGCTTGCAAGTTGTATGAAAATGTATAATTCATAGATGAGAGGAGCTGTTAGAAATTTAGTTCCCTAGTTCATTTTTGTATCTCACATGATTGTTCATTTCAAGCACACTGTCTTTTTCTGAGAGTAATAATGAAAACATTGAAGAAATCATATATCTAATTATCTACGTTGATCCCAGAAGTATAAAGAAAATGTTATTAATACTCTCCTATTCCTTCTTTTTATATTTGCTATACCCTGATATAGAGTTAGAAGTCTGTATTATTTTACTGCGCTCTCAAAATAGGAACTTTTTTGGTTTTGTTTTAAATGCAATGTGGGTTTGAAGAGAGATCTGGAAGGTGTGTGTTTGGCTGGTGTGCAGTGCCGACAGGCACTAGGGATTCTGATGTTTGTTGATACCTGAATTCTAAGTCCTGCGTGCATGTTGTTTTGTTGTGTTGTTGTCTGTCTGTCTGTTTGTTTTTAATAGACCAGGCATTTGGAAAGACCTAAAGACCATGGGCTCTCTGTCT